TAACAGAAACCTTGACTTGGCAGTGGCTTAAAGAATATAATCACCTGTCTATTTGTCTCAGCTCGCTAGGAGTCTTGAGGCTGGCAGTCACCGTGAAGAGCTGACCCCAGATTCCATGAGGACACCACAGACCCAGGTTTCTTCCTCTTGTCTACCCAGCTTCCCACATGCCCCCCTCTGACTCCCCACCTTCCGGCTTGTTGACTGGTCACCTCATGATCGCCAACATCGGTCCCTTTGATCAGGATGCAGCAGCCTTCTCTTTGGGGCTCGCTGACCAGTTGTAAGGGAGGCTGGGAAAGCAGGGAACAAGATGGCAAGTCATGCAGATTAGATGAATAATCCTTACTGGGGTGGAGATGTGTGTGGTTCCCCGGGGACATTTTTGACTGTCACAGCTGGTCACGTGCTACTGGCATCTAGTGTGCAGAGACCAGGGGTGCCACTGGAAGTCCCCCAGTGCACAGGACAGCCCCCACAGCAAATGGTGATCTGGCCCTAAATGTCTGCAGTGCCGAGACTGTGGAACTCAGGATTAGACCTGTCAGGGTGCATTGCCTAGAACTGCACCCTGCGTGAAACAGAGGATTCTGTGCAGACGGCTCACAGCGCTGAGCATGGCAGCAAGTGGACTCACTGGCAGGAGCCCAGCTCTTGTCTGTGTGGCTGGAGCCCTGGGTGAAACAACAGAGGGAGGGGGGGTGAGGATGCCAGCCATCTCATGGGCAGAAGACGTGTACGCTGGCCTTTTAGAGATGCTCCATGTTCTCTGAAAGGTATGTGTATGAAGTGCTAACCATTGGCGCTTGTCTTTCATGATTTAATGACTGTGTCCAGGCCTTTCATATTACCCTTAACGGTAATTTCTTAAGGAAGTGAACCCCTTATTTATATCCTGACTCAGATTCTCGGGCCGCATTACAGTCAGAACAGCCTTTGTTCCTTAGAGTCTCTGTATTTTCCGAGGTTGTTTTGGAAAGGAAGAGGCACGCTAAACTTTTGACAGCTGTTCCTTTAGTTTTCCATTAGCATTTGAAAAATGTCTCTTTCAAGCCATGTTCATTAAGATTTTAATTTTGCAGTTTGTTCCTTTTTAAGTGACATGCAATTAATTAAGGTTTAATGTGTCATCTATTTTTTGCAATGACATTTTTACTGCCCCCTTTCCCTTTTAGTCAGTTTATAAATTGTCCTCTAGCTAATGAGTTCCATCCTGATTTCCAGTTCCAAATAATTACTATTCTCCTAAGATGGCTGTTCTTTAATGTGTCACAGAATTAAGAGCATTACCAGGTGAACTCAGGTGAGCTGTGGGTCTGCCTGGGCCATGGGGCCACTGGGGGCTGCGGGGCAGGGAAGCCTGAGCCCCCCCACTCCCCTCCCCTGGTTCAGCACGTTCTCACCAGTCATCACACCCAGGGCTGAGCGGGATGTAAATGCAGAAGCCTCTGCCGGGCTTGGCCCTCTGGAATTTGCAGACTAGCTAATTGCCCTGCTTCCCCACGTTGCTTTGCCAGTGGAAGTATGACCAGTGGGACTTGAAATCCTGAATGATTTTTAACTGTAGATGGGGCTGAGATTGGACCAGGATGAACTGAACAGCGGTTCCTTATTAATTTCTATTTTACTGCCACGCTGAAACGTACGGACATTTCGTCAGGCTGGGCTGAAGTTTACCTTTGCAATGTTAGGAGAGGGTAGGGGGTGGTGCGGGGGAGATTTATGAAGGAAACGACTCTTGTAAGGGAGACTGTGAGGATGTAGGAGTCAGTTTTCCAAAAGTCAGAACCAATGGGAGGCACATACTAAGAGAGTTATCTGAGGGAACTGGCTCACGTGATTTGGGGGGTGGGTAAGCCTGGAATCTGTAGGACCAGCCAGTGGGCTGGAAACGTGGGCAGCAGCGGATGCTGCTGTCTTGAGGCTGAATTCTTTCTTCTCCAGGAAAGCTCAGCTTTGGCTCCTAAGGCCCTCAGCTGGTTGGATACAGCTCATGTTTTTGGTGATAATCTCCTCGTTGTGGGGAGTGATGGAAATGTTAGCTAGCTTGATTGTGGTGGTGGTTTCATGGGTGTGTATATCTATGAAAATTCATCAAATTGTCCATCTGAAATATGTAGTTTACAGGAACCATACCACAATAAAATGTTTAAAAAAAAAAGTCAACTGCTTATGGATGCTAAGTGTATCTACAAAATACCTTCACTGTCGGCCAGATTAGAGTTTGGTTAAATCCCCGAGTACTAGACCCTGGCCATGTTGACACAGAAAACTGTCATAGAGGAAGAGGCCCCCTGCAGGGAGGTGGGAAGTGTGTGGGTGCTGAGGGCCAGGAGACCCAAGGTGAGGACTTCACTCTTACCAGCTTTGGGGCCTCAAGCCATCCCTTCCTCCACTGTGACTACCATCTATTCTGTAATAAACTTTTATTAAATGCACGCCTCTACCAGCCAGAATGATATGTGTTAAGGAAGCAAAGATGACTAAGATGTGCCTCTGTCCTGGAGAAGCCCATAGTCTGGTAAAGATGACAGACTCATGACCAACTAACCACCAGCACGAAAAGTGAAGGACCACACATTTCTTGCAAAATAAGAACCATAGCTGTCCTTACAACACATCTCGGAGGAAAACGGGAGATGATAAATAAGTGAGACACCAAGTGCTTTGCCAGTGACAGTTACTGTTAGTATTTTTAGAACATTTTAGTAGCATCAGCCAAGTGCTACAAAGTACCTTTGTGGTCTGGCCATCACTCCATTGCTGAAAAGCCAAGAAATCTTATCTCTATTAAAAAAAAAAATCCCACGGTTTAGGTGCTGAGTTTAGGTGGTTATATTTAGGAAAGATAAACCATTAAGTGGAGCTCTTATAGGTAGGTTGTGTTATAACAGTAAACACATGTGAGGTGACTGTCAGATGTGGGTTCATCCTGGTGGCACAGTTCCAGGGTGGAGGAGGTTGCTAGGTTTTGGAAGTTTTGCCTTTGATCCATTTCATTGACTTTCGTTTTCTGCCTGTGGAAGGAAAATATCTTCATTGCATCCATCCATTCCTGTCTCTGCTCTGTGGTTTTCAGGGGCAGACGTCCAGGCCAGGGACTCCCGCCGCGGGATGACATCCCAGGAGTGGGCGGCTTTCACAGGACGGTTCGAAGCCGTCCGTGTCTTCCAGAGGCTGCTGGAGCGACCCTGCGCGGAGCAGTTTGGGGAAAAGTACAAACCAGAGCTGCCACTGCCCCTCGAGGCGGGTCCGAAGCCTCCGGGCTCCAAAAACTGCTTGCAGAGGCTCACCGAATTTGTGCGGTCTGCGCTGACCTCCCGCTCGCGCCAAGGCCTGGAGGATGGAGGGGTTATGGACCACATGGTCAGGATGACCACGAGCCTCTACAACCCCGCCGTGGCCATTGTTTGCCAGACCGTGTCGCCCGACGGACCCCCCCTGTGTAGGGAAAAGGCGGCTGGCGGTTCAGGAAATCCTGGCGGCGAGGGGGACCCGGACACGCAAGCTCAGGAAAGGGACAAGGCTGATGGCACCGAGCAA